CTGAGTTGGTTTCTCTGAAGAAGTCTGATGAGAAATCCCATATTCTAGGACTATGTCCTTCTACACCATGATATCCTACTGCAGTAATGAATCCACTGAACAACAGGGTTCCTTGTAATGGCAGAAACTGGAACACTGCACAGAATCCTGTCCCAGAACACAAATCTCACTGCCAGATGAAGTAAAAATGTCCCTTATCATTTTCACACTTAAAACTTCCCCACCTCTGTTTGTATACTATCCCTCCCCCATTTCCCCCTTCAAAACGAAGTCCAAAAAATCCCACAAGATGACAGAAAAGGTATTAGTGTTTTAAATTTGGGAATCAATCAGTAACAGTGAAAGTGACCACTAAGCACATTCTTTAAAAAAACAAACCAAACCAAAACAAACCCCCCAAATCTTATAAACCCATTTGCTTGGCTTGCCAGCAGCTGAAAGACTGTCCCACTTGACAGCTAAATCCAGTATGTTTTGCTTTGTTTAGTCATTCCACTGAGAAGAGACAGCAGTCAGCTAGTCACTGGTAAGCTGTTCCCCCACATCCTTTCCCCTACCAACACACAAATCAACTTCGCCAAAGCAGGAGCCATCTTTTATCCACCCAGAAGGTTATATAAGCAAAGATATAAGAGGAAGATAAATGTGCTGCAACATGGCAAAAGCAGAGGATGGCCCACAGCTGAAAAACTGATGAACTTCAATAGTCTATTCACCTCTATCAGTTATGTCTAGTCTTGTGGATACTATCTCTAAGTGTTTGCTTTACTTTTATTAAATTGGTTTTTACTAGGGAAGAACAAAAGGAAGATACACATATTTAATACAAAACCCAACAAGTCTGATGAACGGACAGGACAAGTAATAATGTTTTAATGCCCTACAAAATTGGATTTTCCATTAAAATACAACATAGCACATAACAGCCATGAACACCTAGAATTCACAGCACCAACCCAATAAATGGCAAGCAAACAGCTACTCATGGAAGTAGCAGAAGTCTCCTGGTCCTAAACTTTCCTGAAAGCCTGATGTGACAACAGCAACCTGTCATCTTTATTGAGGAAATATAAAATCATTTGCCCTGTTGAAAATCAGAATTTTTCTTAGGAAGGAAATACATCAGGGAAATGCAGCTGAGGCTTTTTTTTTTACAGTTACTGAGGAAAGATGTGAAATATTTAAGAGAAGTTTCTATCATCTCATAAGTTAGTTTAAAAATCTCAAGTCTGTCTCTAAAACATTGTCTCCCAACTTTGACATCAATATGAGCTCCAAACTGTAATACTTGCAGAGATGACATCCAAATAAGCTTTTGACTACACAGAACAAAGACATTTTCTATTTTTCAACTCTTGCAACAAAATATGTATCTGTAGAGCTGAAGCTATTGGAAATGGGTACGTTAGCAAAAAACTCCTCAAAAAGCACATTTTTAATACCTACATAGTAATTACTTAATTTTAGCCCTCATGTCACATTTTTCTGCTAGACTTTCTTAATTTGGAAAGCCAAAGCTAACTGTCACTAGTGCAGGTTGAGACGTACTTTTAGTTCTCTTAAAAAAATAAATTCTATTCTACTTAACACCTCATTGTGAATGTATAACTTAATTTCCCAAAAGACCAGCTAAGAAATAAGCTGTGATTATTTTAAATTCAGTGTGCAGAAGGGAAAATAACCCCACAACACCAAAACCCAAAACCAATCAGACAAGCATTCTTATATTTGCTCTTTGTTCCACCTCTTATTTTTACTAAAATCACCTATTTTTAAATTTTTTGCTTTCTTTATTGCTAATTTATTCCTTATTTTAAACATATATACTCTACACAGGTTAATTTTTACTGTTCCACATTTTGCTATCTGTTTATATTTTAATCCAAATGGTTTTATATTTTGTTATTAAAGAAAGACTCACAAAGGATTAAGATGATTTCTTCAGAAAAAAAAAAAAAGATTATTTTTCCTTAAAGAGGAGATTTAATCAGAATAACAAATTTTTCTTTCAGAGTTTATCAAGCATTGGTGCCTCATTAATTACAGAATGACGCAATTTCAGGTTAAAACAGTGTTAGAAATGTGACTAAATAAAGGACAATAATGAAACTGCTATAATGTAATAGGTATTCTTTAAGAGTATGCTTAAGATGGCTGTTTCTTCCCAGTTTCAAACAGAACAAGAACAAAGAAATGCCTCCCTGTTTACTCAGTGTAAGTGCATATGACCACTATGATTCTTTAGCTCCACAACAATATCAGCTGTTTTAACACTCCTTCACATCGAAAAATTATGTGCTTACATATTTATAAATTCTGACTTCTTTGCACAATTAGAAGTAACATTTAAACTGAATCCTTTGTTAATTTCTTCATCCCAAACAGTGCATCTACATATCTAAAGCTGTAGCATTCACTAAGAGTTTGGTGATTATGTCTTGCAGCAAAAGATTAGATGCTGATTGCCACTATGAGATTTACTGAAATACAACAATAAAAACAAAACCAGGTAAAATCTGGTTTAAGGTAAAGTTAAGGTACGGTAAGGGCAAAAGCACTCCAAAGAACAATCTGCTTTGGCACTTCTTCCTAGGTTAGGAAATTCCTATTGAAAAAACTGAAAAGTAGCAATTAAAAAAGCATTGCAAGTTCAAAATATTGAGCATGGCTGCTACCTAAAAGACATGCCAAGTATGTTAACTATGATGTAGGTGTGCCTAACTCTCACTTCAGCTTATGGCTACCAAAACAAACAGCACAAACCTTTTAACTGTCTGGACAGAGAGAGAGACAGCTTTCCTCCCTTAGCTAGACTGAAGCATGGTATTTAGCTTCTTTGTGTGGTACTTAGATATCCCGATTCATGTGTGACACATCTCTCATTTGAGGACCTCTATCATCTCACCTCAATGATGAAATAATGAGAATAAAAAGAGAAAAATGAGTCAAGTTCTGTTTATATTCATTTGCCTCAGAGAAAAATAGTGTCAATCAGGTGTTTGCACATAATAGACTACTTCCTTAAAAGAGCATTTCATGGAGTATTTTTAGATCAAATGAATTTTTCTGTAAAATTCACATACAGAAAATTTACTGTTTTGTGTCTTTTATTATGCAAGCCTAACATAAAACCAAAATATTAATGAGAAAAGTTGATTTTTATCGCCGTAAAATACTTAATTCTGGAAGAACATTGAGATTAGACATGTCCAGATCAAAGTAACTATAATGTGATAGGTAAGAAAAATTGCAGGCTGATTATGAAAGACAGAGAACGAATTGTTAGTTTATTTACCTTTGCAATCCATCTAAGCTAAAAAACTGCATTACTGAAGAGAAATTCACTTGCACAGCAAGAAAGCTCTTGAACCTAAGAATCCAAACTTTTTTTTAAGTGCTCCAGGCAATTTTTATTAAGCTATAATTATTTCCTAAGTCTCTGAAAATGTTCTACTTTGCAAAGTTTAAGTGACTGGTAAATCAACATCCCACTTAAACCATTGTTGACACTTGTTGCAAAATTTCTTTTCCATAAGTTAAAAATCAAACACAAGCTGAGTTTTTCCACAGGAATTAGTAGTACTGTGAGAATCCTTCTCCTTTCCTTTGGTGAAAGGCTTAAAATAATTTCACATGCCTTAATTCTCTGGCCAAAAAATGTGCACAAATACTTCTACTAATAAACCTACAGTACTACAGTGTGCCTGTTCCCAAATGACTCAAGAGTCCCTCTTCAACTGATCTAAAGAGAAGAAAATAATCACTGTTCTCAGTAATTATTCAAAAACAAGTAAACTGAAAGACTGATTTAAATCTACAACAATAACGTGCCAGATAATGAAAAGGCAAAAGCATACAATACCTAAGGAAGCTAAATACCTAAAGAGGATATTTTCTACCATCACTACAGTATTTAGTTCAGTATCTGAATAAAAGGAAAAAAGTGATAAACTTTTATCACCTTGAAAAAAGGTGAGGAACTTTCGTAGAACTGCCTCTATTTGCAGTGCTAAGAATAGTTTTTCTTATGGCCCACCTTCACCTTTGAAGAAGTCTGCATCTTCTAGTAGTTTCATTTTTCAGATTTTAATAATGAAGCAGAAGTAATATGGAAAGAGGAGGCTTCTTATTGTTCACAAGTAAAACAAAAAGATAGCATGGATTAAGTAGTGACATAAAATATTTACGTGCACCAGGACTCCTTGTTACATACTAGCACACAATTAAATAGCAGAATTCTCAAAATTTTCAGCTACATGATACTCTCTTGTAAATCTGCACTGCAGATTTTGCATCTTCACTGGTGGAGCAATAAAGGAATACAAGAACTAGAATAGCGGAGACCTCAATCAAGATTCTGTTGGATAATATCACAAAATAAAGTACTTTGTATTTAAACAAGCATTTGAAAAATAACCAAACAAACCTACTGTAATGTACTTTGCACATAGGGAAATCTTTGTCCTTGTAGCTGTTCCAGAGAAAGAGATTTATAGTGGATTCACCCTCTGAAATCTAATGTACTCAGCAACTGCAGAACAAGAGCACCACTCAGTGGAACTATCAGAGAAAACAATACTGGTAAAGTCAGTGTTACATATTCATAGCATAGCAATAAAAAAGGAGTTTCAGGTGATTCTACTAAGAAAAAAAATTTTCCCACTGTCACTACTTGGAAAGTCATCCCTGCTTCTACCTAAGAGACAGAAAATCCATAATTAACATATCTGCAGATCCTGCCAGTATCATAGCACAATTCATGACTTTACTTTTCCAGGGTCCTGCTTTTCTAAATGGGAAATAGATTTATATTTGTCATAACAGAAATAAACAATGAGGAATGCATGTAACAATTAAAAAAACCCCAAATACACAATACATGCACGCTCTCTTTTCTAATTACACTAAATTTCTAGGACACAGACTACTTCTTTGGGAAATGTGAAAATGTTCAGTACTCAAACACTACAGAATCTGTTTTGGTCAGAATAATGCATTACCTGGTAAATTAGTCTTCATTATATCAATGCCCACTTGAAGCTCAGGCTCAGCCGCAAGGACTGCATAATCTCCTTGATGAGAGATATTGAAGTTGTAATTCGAATTGATACTAACTACAGTATTGGCCAGGAAAGGTTTTCCTTTCGATGTCCTTTGCAAGTGTACTTCATTCCAAGGTATGCACATCTTTTCTGCAATTAATTTCCGCATCAGCAGGCGACCAGCCTATGAAATAAAATGGAAGTGATTCATACAGAACTATTATGCTATCTGCAAAATACCTCTGGCTGCTAGAAAACCACCTGCCTGAAAAATATGGCTTTATTATTGCTGATACAAAGTAAGAGCGTATTTTAGCTGAATAATTTAAATTTCCCCGCTTTTATAAAAGCCTGTGTCTGCAAAGCACGAGTTCACCAGACCTGAGTATCAAACACATTTATTATCACTATTAGCACAGAGGCAACATAAGACCCAAAAGCAGTCCCAGCCTAGAAGAATCACAAAAACAGTTCCTTTCCCTACCTTGTTTACTTGCTTAGGATACTTTACGGCACAAATAAATATTTTTACACCACCCTGAACGGTAACATTGTCTCAAGCCTTCCTTGCAGTACAGCCACTCCATTACTTCGGCACTAAATGAAATACTGAGCAGCTGAAAGTGATGAGTAACTTCTTACACACAAATTAGCAGATCTGTATCACAAACACATCCTGATGCGAGATTTAAAACCTGAATCGTGTAGAATAGCTTTATTCTCTTACACACTACACCGCTGTCTTAGGTACAGTCTCCCAGGGTACGCTGATTTTGTCTCCTAACTTGACAGCCCGACACAGAACTTGTGACGTCTTTCACAGTAACTACTGAGAGCAGACTGCAAACACCTCTTTTTGCTCCGCGGCGAAGCAGAGCTGCATACTTTACGCATCACGCTTTGTACTTTACGATACATTACTTCCCCGAAATGCCCTTGTAGAGCACGTTTTCCTACGAGGAGTCAGACATCTGGGCAATGCCCAATCTGCAGAGACAGCCGCGTCCCCGTGCCCCCAAGTACCAAGGCGGCTTTGGCATCGCGAGCAAAGACAAACTGGCCGATGCGGTCCTTCTCCTCGGGCTGCACCAGCTGCGCGGCCAGCAGCCACTCACGGCGGCGGGGGCGCCAGGCCCCGCAGGGGAAAGCCCAGCGCACGCTGCCCATGGCCCTTCACGGCCCCGGCCCACCCGGCCCCGCCACGACCCACCCCTCGAACACGGCGGGAGCCTATCGGCGTGCGGGAGGGACGGAAGGCCCCGCCCCCGAGGCACCACGACCAGTCCGATGTCAGAGCACGCCATGAGTGACAGGGGAATGCGCCAGGTACCGGCCTATCAGGGGAAAGGCGGTGCCTGCGGCGGAGCTACACCCGTGGTGCCGTCAGGGAGGAACCAGCTCGCGGAGATGGGCGGACTCTGCCCTGGATTGACGGCCGGCGGAGCCATTCCGAGCGCAAGGAGCGAGAGAATGACACCAGAAGGCTCCAATCTGTTGGTGCGACTGCAGCGGAGGGTGGGCCAGAGCGGTCGGTGAGCTACGGGTGTTGGCTGCAGGTGGGTGCGCGCTGCTCGGAGGGAGCGCTCAGGGGGGACTGGCGCTTGGCCGGCTGCGGAGCGGTGGAAGTGCTGGAGGCCGCCACACCCCGCGCTGGGCCCCGCGGTCGCGCTCTGAGAGCAAGGAAACCCTCTGCCCCATGCCGCGCATCCTGCCAGAATTAGTCCTCCCTTAGAATGAACGGAGGCGCCGCGAGCTGCCTGGGCATGCGCAGTGGTGGCGCTGACGGCACCGCCCTCCCCCTGCGGGCGGGGCGGGGGTCATGGCGGCCGGGGTTGAGTTTGGGGATGAGGAGGTTGGGCATGGCCGGTAACCCCGGCCGGGGCAGAAGGAACGTAGTTGCCCTGTGGCTTCTGACTGCACCCGGCTTTGCGCGAGACAGGGACGCGTTTATGCCGTGGGGGCGGGGGACGTTGGTTCTTGATGGCACCGTGACCGGTCAATGGCAGGTGATGCCCCCGGTGTCCCCTCGCTGCCATCGGCGCATCCGGCTGAGATGTTGCCGTCAGCACATCCATCCTGCTGGACAGTCGTCCCAGCCTCTGGCAGAGCGGTCGCAGCGGGGTGGCCTCTGCCTGCCCTGGCCACGCTGCCTTTTCTTGCCCAGAAAAGAGGAGCCGATTGTCCCCACAACAGATGTAACGCGCTGCATCATCCTGTTTGGGTTCTGGCTTCAAAAGATCTGTCCGAACAAAAGCCTCTTCTATCCCGTGCTCGTTGAGAGCACTAAGAGCTCTAATGGTTGTCAGAACTGGGTTCCCACGTGCCCTCAATTACAGGCCATCTGTAAATCCTCAGAAGGTAATAAATTCGTTTGCCCTTTGGTTCTGAAGTTGGACCATGGCTAAAAATTTAGGGCCTGTTTGAAACTTTATAACCCTTCTTCATGCTGCTTGCCTTTAGAAATACTTCAACTATTCTATACTGACCATGTACAAATGATGCAAAAGTATTGAAAATTATATTATTGCAGGTATTTCTTAGAATCCTCCTTTTATTGTTGCTTAGAATTCACAGTTCCCTGGGCATGGGGGAAAAGTGCTATTTCTACATGGGCCAGAAAGTCTTTCTGCCTAAAATACGTCATAGTTATAACTGAGTATATGTTGCTCTTTGCAAAACGTTTTAAACACAGAAGTAGCATTTGTGTAGAAATGTGTTTCATCAAGGAAACATATATGTTTCATCAAGGGTAATTATCATATTTCAAAATATTATTCCCATTTTTCTTCATGACTTCGTGAAGCAATCGATGGCATAATCTGTAGTATCCAAAGACAGAGAAAAAGTTAAGTGACAGCAGAAAAGGATTTAACACTGTCAAGAAAAAAAATCTAGGAAAATGCTATTCGCCAATATCAAACTGTAGCTTACATTTCAAGCATTGTGATTTCCTTTTCCGGAGCTTGCAGTTTTTATTTTTGCCAGAATTAGAAGTGTAGCATGGCATTTTAATTCCAGGGTTTTTTTTCTGAAAATTAAAATTACAGTTCTTGATCTTTTTTAGCTAAGAAAATAATTTGCAAAGGAACGTGATGACTTTGAGAAACTTAGCTTTAGGATAAAATCCCGTCAGTTTTAGTTCTTATAAGTGATTATTGCTTTATCTTAATGGATTCATGTGTTCGTGAGAGAAGATGCATTTAACGATCCCTGCCTGCAGAGTAGGAATCTCCCACTTTTGGAATGCTTCCAGGGACCAGTGACATTTCATTCCTTCCTACTGATATCATGCTGGGGTTTTTTCCATGTTGGGTCTTTTTTCAATCACCTCTAAAGAACACAAAGCTTTAAAGTCTCTGTGTCACCTTTCAGTCTGAGAATACTGTCTCAATATGTATTATTGATAAATGCCACTTTTGTGGATTAAATGCCTCAGAATGTCACATGCATTTTTTTGATTGTCTAAAAATGATTGACTGAATATTATTTTTCATTGAAGTTCAGTTATTTATGAAGAAGCTGTGAGACTCAGTTGCATTGAAATTTCCAGACTAGAACCTGGAATTCTGTTAGTGTTTTCAATCTTAGACAGTTAATGACAATCAAAACATTAATACAATATAAAAGTACAGAACTTTTTACTCAGTATTTATAGTTTAGTTACATTTTAAACCGCTCCTGTCTTTTTAGTCAGCAATTAGAAGTGTCACCAACTCCTTCAGATATCTGTTCCACTCATACTCACCTTGGTGAATGTTAAATTAGACGTGTGGTGCAGAGCGATGTCTTTAAAACTTGTTAACAAATTATTAATTTCTCCCCTTTTGAATGGATAAGGAGTGAAAATAGCAAATCATCTTAATGGATATGTAGTAGACTTAATAATATAATACTTATTTTTAATATTAGATTTTAAAATGCTGACCTTGGCCTTTTCAAAACATAAATTAATGTACAATTAAATTTTGTATGAAAAAAAAAATCTGAAACTTCTCTAGAGAAATGTATACAATTTTTTCATCTTCGTTGCTCTTCCTTCTTCATAGGTACATAAATCATGGTGTAAAATATCAGCTCTTAACTATTTTTTAAAATCCTGTTATCCAGTAAGACATACTATGCAAGTTGGGAGAAGACCAAGTGACAAACGTAATGTTCCACTGAAGAACAATTTATTTCTCATAAGATACCTGCTAAGAAGTATTAAGAACTATTTTTTTTTAATTGTGAAAGGGTGTCATAGCACATCTGTATTGTGCTGTCAGATGAAGCAGACAGAATGTTTTACAATTGTTTGTAAATACCAAAGTACCAAAAAAAGGTTGTTGAGTTTAGACTTATTGCCAGCTATGCTGGTAGAGCAGAGAACAGTACTTGTACTTTTTAAGTGGCTCATGTAAGTTTGGCGTCCTTCGTGCTGGAAACAGTGTCGAGCTTCAGTCCTGTTACAAGTGTTTGGATGTGTTTACTGTCAGGCAGGCACAGCCATAATGTGTTTTTTCTGACAAGGTGATGACTTAGCTATATGTGATACTTATGTGTACTCAATACTTTCGCAAAACAACATCCCCTAGGCTTTTTAAAAGTCACACGTGTATGTATGTGTATTTTTATCTTACTATTATAAAGTGATCAAGCAGTTTGGTCTAAGCCTTTTCTGGTGTCTTTCTGTACCCTTATCCAGGTGTTTGTGCTCCATTCTTATTACACACATTCTCCCTTTTTTAATAAATTTTCCTTGGTTATTCACTAAGAATTAATTGTACATCTTCCACCATTCTCAACTTTCATCGGCGCATTTAAACTTCTGTAACCATTTTATCTATCAGCTGTAGCAGCTAAGGCTGTTTTGATTGTTGGTTTAGCAAAATCTCAGCAGAAGCGTTTATGAATATATGTACATTATATGTTCTGATCAGACCATTCACAAACAAAAGTTCATCTCTGCTCAAAGTTCATTTCACAATTCTGCTTCTTGTTTTGCTCCTTCAAATTGGGTGGAATGGATGTGAACACCATTTATAGGAGGCGGATTGCAGTGATTGATTTTAGTGTATGCTATATGAGATATTCTGAAAAAGTCTGTCCTGGATGGTTTTGGTCTGCTATATGAATTTAACATGCTGTATTTGCAGTCTCTTAGTATAATCTGGGATTAAACATATATCTAGGTTATTAAACTGATACTCAAAAGGGCACCTGGACTTGCCAAAGGAAAAGTATAAGCAAATAAATGACTCATTTCAATTTCTTCTACGTACAGAATTGTAAGAACATTTAAGAAGTATTGTTGATGGTGCCAACTAAAAGAAAATCATCAAAAATTTATGTCTTTAACTATCTTTGGAAAGGGATCATTAGCATTGGTGAAGTAAAACAATTCCTCTAGAAAATCGGTGAGTGATTTTGGCAGCTGTTCACATGGTGTTGATGTCAGTTAAACATCTTCTTGTAGCTTTTTACCAATAGCTTAGATACGACTAAGAGGAATGTGTGTATATCTCATATCACGACTATGGACTTATCAGACTTCTCAGTGTGGTTACCTGGCATCTGTGACAACAAGCTCATTGTGTCCTAGGCTCCTCTGTCCCTTATCGTCTTGGGAAGAGGACAGTGTTAAATCGGGCAAGGAGTTGGAACTAGATAATCTTTAAGGTCCCTTCCAACCCAAACCATTTTATGATTCTAAAACAGAGGAGTCTTGTAAACAGCAGAACTAACGAGGTTTGGGTCCTTATTAGTGGATTCTGTGACAGACTATAATACTCTTCCCTTAGAGCTCCCAGGTGGTCCCTGATTTCATCCACCATAATGAACAAAATGAGCTTACTGTCCGTAAGGCTGCTCTGTGGCCACACATAGGCTGGCCGTTGCTTGCTACTTAGCTTTCAAGCACACAGAATGCCCTGCCCCTCAACTGGAGATCTGCACAGATAGCTCTGAGAGGTACATATATGTCCCCCAGTCGTGTATTATATGGGGTTGATATTAATAACTGTGAAGTTTTTATGGCATTTCACTGTAATGGTCAACTGGCCCCTTGTTTGAGGTGGCTTTCAAGCAAAAAAAACCTTAGGGCAAGCGTATTAAGGGAGTTTAGCTTTGGAATTGTTTTGGATTCTCTTTGGGGTTTTTTTGTTGTTTTAGAAAACCAGGCTAATAGCTAATGGGGCATTTGTGAGTGTAAGATGTGTAAACATCCAGGATGTGAGCAGGGGAGCTTTGTCAAGTGGTATATGATTGGGTCACGTACAGCAGTGCTCAGGATTTCATGTGTCATGTTACTGGAAGGATGTTGCTCTACAGCACAGCCATATGCTAAGAAACAAAAATAGGAGTTCCCAACTCTAATGGACCACCTGCTGGAGTTTGGTTTGTGCTAATCCATATAAAGACAGGCTTTGAAATTGGAATCCCGTGGAGTTAATAGAGCAAATAAAAGGAGGCTTGTAGCCCAACTTTCCTGATCTACAGACCTATGCAACATATGTCTGCACCCTCTATGTTTTCTACCCTTTTGTCAGTAACTTGATCAAATATTTATTAAAAAACCTCTATTGATTAATTCATATAGCTTTGTAGAAGAAAGTATGAAATAATTATAAATGCTAGTTGGCCTCGTTTAACACACCAAGTTTTAGCTGAATTGTTAAGATAGTTTGGAGGGCTCTAAAATCATTAACAGATTCAGTAGAGTGGTAAATTAGTACCAAAATTACCATATAAATCAGGAATTGGCTACACGAAAGATGAGAATTGAATTTTTTTAATATGTATTTTCTTAATGGAGGCAAGGATGAATTAGGCTAAGTCATAGCACGATATTCATTACTACATTACTGAATGGTGGACAAAAATATTAAAGATAGCTGCTGAATTTTGCTTTTAATAAAACAATGAGACACTGCTATTAGAGATTAGAATTAGGATGCACTAGATGTCCTGCAAACTGGAGTAGTGAGACGATGAGATCTTAACCATAATATTGTACAACACATCTGATATCAGTGAAGAAAATTTAAGATCAAACTAGAGTGGATGAAGAGAAAACTGCAAGAAATAGGAAGGAAAAACAAAAATTCAGTCTTATAAATGGACCTTGGAAAATTTGACAATTATTCACTCTAATGAAAGTTGAGAGAAGATATCAATGCTCTTGATAATTAAAAGAGTGAAGAAATATACAACAGAAAATTAAGTCAAATTACAGTTTAACAGAAGAACAAATATATGTAAGCATTAATAAATTGATTCTGTAATTAAGAAATTTTCAGTCTCGACACCAGTGTACTGGGATAGTCTTTTTTTGTGGTAATAGTGTGGTAAAAGAAAACTTTCTGGAACTTAGACTGCTTTTATGAAAGTGATTATATGATGTTTTTTGCCTAAAATAGCAGAGATGGACTTGATGACAGTAGATGTCGCTGTGGTCATTATACAAAGATAAATATTACTGAAATTGGTAATTTTACCTACTGAAAAAAAGTTGTAGGTTGAAGCTTGTTATAGAAATTACATATAAAAGGAGAAAGATGCCTACTATCTATTTTCAGTTCCAGAATTTTGTGAAAAGGTTTTGTTTAGAAGAAATGTTACTTTATGATTTATTGAAGTTGGGGTTTATGAGGCCATACATTATCAGAATAAATGGTGGTCTTGTTCTTCTGTATTTTCCTAGTTCCTCAGGCTTAGAATGGAAAGAGTGAATACGTGAGATTGTCTGGCCATGGGAAGGAGAAGATGCCTGCTGCACGGGTGCCAGTGCTGGCAGCAAGATCACTGGATCTCTTCTATTCCAGGAGACATGGAGGTCTATTTGTGGTTGGAGCTACCTGACTAGATAAAGTATAGATCAGTCTGCTGTGAAAGTACCTCCCATGAGGAAGACTGCCTGATGCTTTAGTTTGCTCTGATTGTATCATGTTATCAGATAAGCCTTTTCATGAAATCAAAAACCAAACCCAGTATTCTGGTTTCTGAGCTTGGCTTGGAATTTTTTTATCCCCTTGTCACTTCAGGTGGGCCATTATCTGTTGCTAATTTTAATGGGAAGTGTGGAAGTAAAATCCTGGAATAAAACTTGCAATGCTTCTTTAAGCTTTAGAGTAGGCAACCTTGACTCAGATTTGCAGTAAAGGCAGTTTATGCATCTGCAGCGTATAAATAGCTCTTTAAATATGTGTAAATAAAATATACTCATGTTTAAAGCTTCTTTATGTTGACAAAGTGGAGTAAAATATTTTCACTGTAAAAAACAGTTAAAGCCAACTTACCATAGAAAAAGTACACTTCAGGATGGGGATTTTCACCAGAACCAAAACATGGCTGCTGAAAGGGAGATTGCACTGTCTTAAATTTAAATGGGTTCTGAAGCCAGTTAATTTACACCACTGTAAATGAAGCTTACAGTGGGCAAACATACAGCTACCTAGCAAGACCAGAGCTACAAGACAAAATCAGTTTCAATTGACTAAACACTCAAAAGTGTACTGTTACCAAACTGTCTCTAAGTGACCTTATTTGGTAAGCCCCAGCAATCCTGTGATTCGGCCAGGCTGTTGGTGTTCATTTGTATTCTGTTATTTCAGTCCAGAGTGCCTCACGGGAATTCACGTAGGAACCAGTCTAGTAGCCTGTATCTCCCTTCCACTGCAAGCTGTAGAAAGATGAGCCTTTTGGAATCTAAAATATGCAAGAAAGTTTTCTTTTTCCAACTTTCATTGTACATTAAATTGTAAGAGTTTGGGGTTTTTTGAGGGTAACCCTGGACTAATCTTTCTCTTAAATGCCCCTTAAAAATTTTATCACACTCCTTGATGTGCTTCCTGTGGACTTTACTGGAAAAATTCCTGCAGGTGGGTATTATTTGTAGAGTTGTTCCTTGATATGTGGCAGATATTTTACTTTTCAAAATATGCTGTGTGTATATATATTTTACAAAGGAGTATTGTGTAAAAGTCACTTATAACACAAATTTCTAACTGTGCATAGGACTTATAAACTAAATTCAACATTGGGAACTTTTTTGTTTGTTTTATGGTCTATTGATTTTGCTTGGTTTTTTTTTAATAAGACTGTAGAATCAATTACTTATTTTTCCATTTCAGGAATAGATTGAAGAAAACATGGCCAATCAACGGGATTACATTAGCAGACCTATTTGCAATGGGATTTCTGTTCCTGAAAATAAAATCAATTCCTTAGTGGCTGAAGGTCATGGACAACAGATTCTAAAAGTACTGCAAAAGTTCAGAGAACAAAATATATTTTTTGATTTTAAAATTGTTGTGAAAGATGAAATAATTCCCTGTCATCGTTGTGTACTGGCAGCATGCAGTGATTTTTTCAGGTAAACCCAAATTTGGCATGAGTTTGCAGGAAATAGATTCTAAGTCCTCTGGGGGGAGAGGAAAGAAATATAATTCCCAAAAAAAAAAAAAAAAAAAAATCACAACTTACATGTGTGTGCAGAGTTTTGAGCAAAGCATTCAAACATCATTTTAAGGATACACCAGGTGCATCTGTTTGTATTTCCAAAGTGCCACAAGGACTCTGTGAATTCAGACAGCAGTCCATACTCTGAAATACAAGCTTCATACCATAAGTGTGTGGTTCTGCTCTTGGGTAGAACTGACACAAGTTACATATATTTAAGAGTTACCTGTTGGCCATATCAGTACTTAAAGGTCTGCAAGGATATTGTTTGACTTTGTATTGGACAGTCTATGTACTTTGACACATATCTAGTGAAACATAAGAGGTTGATTATAAATACATCCATTGAGCAATTGTGGATGAATTGTACATGATTTTGGAATGGGACTGCATTTTGTTTGTCTAAGATGAATGGTTGGTGTATAGATTGTCTTCAGTTAAGACAGATGTATTTAAACAGATGTACTTTTTCTAAACTACAGATTTCAGCCTTTCAGCATGAAATGGATCTGTGATCTTCCTTCTGGTGCTTAAAGCTATATGTTCTTAAGGAACAGCTAGGTCATTCACAAACAGAATATTAATTTATGAAGAACCTTGCTAGCCTTTTTATTAGTGAGCCTCAAACTTGCGATTCCACACTGAAAGTCTGTTTCTGAATACAGTGTTAAATAAAACAAAGCTAATACTCTTAACAATGAAAAAATGGGCTTCTGGAAATGAGTTAATGACCTCAATTCAGTTGCCCAAGGTCACCCATAGGTGACAAGTGTTATTTTCAAATGTCCTGGAATATCCCATGTTCTATGGGAGTCTGCCATATCTGACAGAAGATAGCTAGAGATATGCTTAGAATTACGGAAAAAAAAGGAGAAATCAGATGAAATTTCAGAGAGCAATTTCTCCCCTATAGCAGCACATTTGGTTTTTCTCTGACACAAAGAACTACTTGCGTTTATTTCTTCACTGCTTGCCGGCACAAAGATGCTCTGGTAGAAAGAAATATTAGGATGAAATAGCTTCCAGTGGTAATTTTTAGAACTGAACTTATGCACATGGTAACGTATGTGTCCTTTTCACTACCTACAGGCTCTTCAGATGAAAATTTGGTAGGAAAGATCTCTCCCTACTGCAAAGAGTTGATAATAGCAGCCATCAGATTCATAAGTCATCCTTGATTGCAAGGCCCATTTTTTACCTTCAAGGAGGAAAAAGTACTTAAGTCCACTAGATACGTTTTAAAACAGAACACCTTTTGTCTTCCTTGGCCTTTGGACTTCTCCTAATTTTTGTTTCCTTGTTTAAACCCAAGATTCAGCAATATTTTGATCCTTACTTGTTAGCTTTCAGAGTCAAGGCCTTTGCCTATATTGCTCTCCGACTGGTATTGTTCCGTTGCTATTTTACTCTGTAATTAGAGATTTATATCATAGCTCTTGAGTTAATGAGGAAAGGATTCTAAGTGTCATCATTTAGTATGCAAAAAGGTCTTTGGGACATGGGTGTCTCACTGTACTTTTATGTTCTTGCTCAGGAAGTCAAGCATCTTCCTGCTTTACCAGATGTTTACTTCCCAAAGAAGATGCTATACACAGTTTGGTTTTTTTTTCCTCTTTGGCTTCAGAAAAGGAAGCAATTTTAAAAATCCCATACTATAGAGATACTTACTGTATAACTGAACTATAATACATTTTTTTTTTAACATGAAGTATCCATGATATATTAATAATCCAGATTCTATACTTAGCATCTGGTAATTTATTTGAATCTTCCTCCACTATCATCTTTTGTCAAATTTAGAAGCCATTGCTATCCCTGATGCTTAGGGTAGGGCAAGGGATATTGCAGCACTATTCTGTTGCCAGCACTTTCCTGCTTGAAAAACTTTAGTTAATTTATCTTGCCATGTTAGATTGTGTGAAATAGTTAAATGTTATTACATATTTAGAATAAAGTAGTTAAAGTTGTAGTAAAATTTCCACAAATGTACTTATCAATAATTCATTCCACATTTTCAACTGTCATTGTATTCAGTCACAATCTACTTTCTGCACAGTTTCATTGTGTCATGCAATCCTATGTCAAAACCTCATTTTTTTCTGACACTGGCCTGTACTCAAACATCTATCTGTCAACTCTAAAGCAAGAATTAAGTTTCCTCATGTTTTTTCTCCTTATTCACCCCTCACATACTTTTTATTTCCAAGGAATGCGCCCATCATCCATCCTGCCATTTACTCAGGCTGCAATTTGGAAGGCTTTTTTTCACTTAATTTTATGTATTCAACCACAGTGCATGACCTAAATCATGGGCCTTTTTTTACTCTGTATTTTTTAAATTAGCCTTTTCTTTCCTAAGCTGTTGAAACTGATGCTATCTTGATGCTATCTTGAATAATTTCACATTTTCTCTCACACTAAGAGCTGCAGACTTCATTGCTCTCTGTGAAAATCCATACAAGATGCAGGTGCAGCTATCATTTTTTTAAGCCACCACTTTGAATATGTTCTTATCACCACTCCTTTTCTCTTCAGACATACCAAGTAAATGCATTGTTCTTTCTTATAAGAACTTCCATACTTTAGACGTATTTTAGATCAGCCCACCTTATTATACTCCTCTGCTGCTTGCTAAGTCTTTAATTCGTGTGTATATCTTCTGTATTTTATTTGCAGAGCCATGTTTGAAGTTAATATGAAAGAACGAGATGATGGCAATGTTACTATTAGTAATCTATCACCCAAGGCAGTGAAAGCTTTTCTTGATTACGCTTACACAGGAAAAACAGAGATAACAAATGATAATGTGGAAATGCTCTTCCAACTGTCATCATTTCTTCAAGTTTCAATCCTTTCCAAAGCTTGCAGTGACTTTCTAATAAAAAGTATTGATCTTGTGAATTGCCTACAGTTGCTTTCTCTATCAGAAAGTTATGGGTCCATCCGCTTGTTTGATCATGCGCTAGATTTTGTACAGCACCACTTTTCATTGCTGCTCAGATCAAGTGATTTTTTGGAGATGAATTTTGAAATATTACAAAAATGTCTTGAGGCTGATGAGCTAAATGTCCCTGAGGAAGAATCAGTGTTGAAAGCTGTCCTCCAGTGGACCAAACACAACTTAGAAACACGGCAGAAATACCTGCCTAATTTGATTAAAAAAGTGAGACTACACCAGTTACCTGAAAAGACTTTGCAGGACTTTCTGCATTCTGAAGAACACTTACTTAAGAGTGCTAATTGCTCAGTAATAATCAGTGATGCAGTTAAAAGCGTGCAAAACTTCAGTGGACTGTTTCCAGATGCACGTCCTTCAACAACAGAAAAATATATATTTGTTCATAAAACTGATGAAGATGGAGAAAACAGACATACATTCTGCTATAACATCAAAACAGATAAATGGAAGGAACTACCACATACACACATGATTGATCTACCAGGGTCAAGTTTATCTAGCTATGGAGAAAAAATATTTATAACCGGAGGATGCAAGGGGAATTGTTACAGGACTGTCAGGCTTCATATTGCTGAACCGTTTCATGATGCCACTGACCAAACCTGGTGCTACTGCCCAGTCAGCAATGAATTCTCCATAGTGTCAGCTATGAAAAAACCAAGGACAATGCACACATCTGTTGTAACCTTAAATCAGCTCTTTGTAATAGGTGGAAAGACCAGAGGAGCTCAAGAAACTCGAAGTCTTTTGGATGTGGAGTCCTATAATCCTCTTTCCAAAGACTGGAAATCTGTAAGTCAATTACCAAGAGGTATCTACTATCCAGAAGCAAGTGCATGTCAGAACATAATTTATGTCCTTGGCTCAGAAGTAGAGATTACTGATGCCTTTAATCCATCTCTTGACTGTTTCTTTAAGTATAATGCCATGACTGATCAGTGGTCTGAGCTTGTAGCAGAATTTGGGCAGTTTTTCCATGCAACTCTAATCAAAGCTGTTCCAGTGAACTGCACATTGTACATATGTGATCTCTCCACTTACAAGGTCTACAGTTTTTGCCCAGAAACCTGTGTTTGGAAAGGGGAAGGATCTTTTGAATGCGCTGGCTTTAATGCAGGGGCAGTTGGGACAGAAGACAAAATTTATATACTAGGTGGTGATTATGCTCCAGAAGAAATCACAGATGAAGTTCAAGTTTACCATAGTAGTAGGTCTGAGTGGGAAGAAGTTTCACCAATGCCAAGAGCCTTAACTGAGTTTTACTGTCAGGTCATTCAATTTAATAAATATAGGGACCCTTGGTCACCTGTACTGACAATTTGCTCTGGAGAATTTTGAAACTCCTGAATCAACAGAATCTATTTAAATGCACAAGTTTTAGAACAGATTTTTAAGTATTCATTTACAGATGGAGAAATATGTACCTGTTTGTTTAAATCTTCAGTTTAAATTGTATGTTGTAGGATTGCTTTTGGAAGAGTCCATTAACATGTCATTCATGCTAGTTATTATACAGAAAGTATTAATTTTATATACAACTCTTCTCTGTAATTAATAATTTTGAAAATTATGTTACTTTTCAAAAAAGAATAGTCATGAGGAATTCATTGTGTAATATGTGCCATTATGTCTGTAATATTCGCAGTTGTCCCAGTAGAGAAATTTCTAAATGAGAAAATTGACTGTGATAGTGTTTGCCCTATGTAACTTAAGTTAAAAAGAAATCTACATTAGTTGTTGTTTTATTTAGATTTTTTATATTCATAAAACTGTAAGAGGAATTAATTGTCAACTTTATCGTATCAGAATGACCTTAGCAAGGGCAAGAGCCAAAGTGACCTTCACAGCATTAAAACCAGGTATCTAACTTGAAGAGACTGATAATTGCTATCATCTTACTTCAGCTCTTCAGTTTTACCCGTTTTTCTCCATCCTTGTGCCTTAGTAGTAGCTCTATGTTCTGTTTCCATCCCATTACCTGTAGCAAGATAAACTTCAATAACATACTGCAGAGTGGGCAAGATTTCTACAGGATGGATGATTCATGTGATATCTTTGTTTCAGTCATGTTGTTAACTAAAGAAAAAACCCTTCAGGATGTTTTCTAACAGAAGTCTTCCATCTCTGAAGTCTCCAATGCTACCTACTAAGCAGTCACCAGGCTGCTTATAGCAGCAAGCTGTAAAATACATTGTAGTTGTTGCTTTGGTTAACTATGGGAGAAGTTTGTGTCTTGTCATACATCAAATACAAAGTTACAAAACTACACCTGTATTAAAAGTCAAAGTAAATAGTATTTCTGAGGTGAAAAATCTTCTGGAGTGGTTTAAATGAATTAAAACACTTGTACTTCATGGTCATTTTAAGTGTTAAAATATTACATAGTAAACACTACATAATATATTGCTTGATAAACTTTCAGTAGTCATCTATTATAATGTTAAAATTGTAATGGACTTGTAGTATTAATATTAATCTAGGCATACATCGTGAAGTAAATTTGATCTCATGCTTACAAAGGGGGCCCTCTTTCTGACAGGAGAACAGTGAAATTAGCTAGGTTTCATAAATTCATTTGTAATCTTGTACAGCCTGAGAATTTTGTTTTTGTACTAGGTACTCAAATAAGACACTGAGAGCCCTTATGTTCCTTATAAATATCAGGTAAGCAGTAAGGTTGTCCTGTGCCAGACAGAATGGTTCTAAACATCTAAGCATACCTTTTCCAAGCAGTTTAAAAATTAATAAAGTTTAGTGAGGATCTGAAACATCTCTCATATGACTTGAGACGACTGTGCCAAGTTCATTATCACATCACTGCTGCATGTACTTTTTGCAAAACTCAAGCTCAATATTAATGCTTAAAGCTTAATATTGCCTAGAACATACTTTTGTTTTAAACAGTAAACAATGGAATTCTGTGATTAATTCTATAATTTGTTATCACATACCTTTATAAATTTACATAACATTCATTTTAACTATTTTCATAAGTACATAAATTAAAGTTATTCAGATTTGGAGAACATATTAATAGAGAAGAACCCTTCCACTCAATAATACATTTGTATTAAGATGTGTGTCAGTTCTGTAGAAGTAAATAGCTGCTTGTTACAATATTTCAGGCAACTTCCACATTTATTTGGCTTTTTGCATAGTAAGTCTCCAAATCATATTGTAACTACAATTAGCTAGGTAACCTCTACAATCATCTTAGAGAAATGTAAATATTTTTATATTGGAACACAACTTTTTATTAGTACAAAGCAAATGTATTGAGTAGTATTGAGTAGAGAGAGGAAGAATACTATTCCTGCTTACTGAAACTCTAGGAGAAAAATAAGACACATAGGAGAAGAGTAGTGTTAGTATTAATAAAAGCTACTCAGCACAGCTTAGAGACTTCACTGACCGTTAATTATTGCAGCTTGTCACATCAGAATATAAGGCCCAGTTCTCTTTTGCTTGTTTATTTGTGTTGGTTTTATACCTGAGTACTGTGAGTATGCAGTTTATGCAATGACAGAAGTAACATACTATACCCATAGTACATGGGTATAAATAGCTATGCAAATTGGAAGAGACTAGAGAATTGCAAGGGTTTTTTAATTGCCACTGTCATGACCAAATTGCTGGATCACATAAACAGCGAGTGAGTCAGTCAGTAATTCAGGTAATATTCTTTCCCCCAAGTTTTTTGTTACAGCAGCTTTTTTTGGCAGTCTTCCATCCAGCTACTTGCTATATGTATTAAGACTCTAGCATAGGACATCAGACAGAGCAATGACATATGAGATAAATTAGTGTAGATAGTGAAAACTGAATGAAGCTTAATTGGGAAAATAGACATGCTTCTTTAATATTCTACGCTACACTTGCACAGGAACTAATGTCAGTTCCCAGTTTGACAGGTCATTCATTTACTCAGTGATCAGGAAATAGAGTAGTAGTGTCAATTACTTTCTAGCATTGCTTACAGAAAAGTTACTGTGAAATAAGACTGGTTTTCTTCAGTTAGGCAGGGAAGCCTGTACTACAGATCTCACAAAAGGAAAGAAGGTCATTTGCCACAATTCCACAGACAAAGTATTAAATCTGGTAGCAGAATTGAATGCAGAAGAAGCTGTGTTAGAAAGTTATGGTTAAAAATAAGGCTTTCTGATAGAATTAAAAGCCTATATTCCAAACCCTGTGATTGATTGCTAAAGATGTAAGAAATCTCAATGAACTCAGCTACACTGACTAATATGGATTATTTGCATGAATAACTGCTGTAGGTCTGGATCAAATAGACTTTTCATTCTACTTTACACAGCTGTTATGCAATTTAAAAAAGGTCAGAAAGTCAGTACAAAGCGAGTTTTTCTACATCTTTTCTGATTTTTCAAAGCTCACAGTACTTTATGAAAAAGTACCTTCCTTAAAAAATAGTTGATGACTAATGATTACCAATGTTCTCACTGAAATAGAGTAAGATGTTTAAAACAAATTGCATGTTAAGTTATAATTACTATTTGCACTTAAACGATGTAACCAAAACATTTCTAATAGTATTCTATTTTATGTCACAGAACACATTATAAGCATGACCAGTATAATATACATGGAGATAATATATATTATATGTGGGATTTTAATATCCAGTGATGATTATATTGGATAATCTTAATTTTTAAAGAATGCTATCAAAACATTTAGCACTTTGATAATGTTATCACACTGGTTTAGTTGTTAAAATAAATATCAATTATTCAGGTGTTGATTATGTTTGCACAGACCTGATGATTATTATTTATTTACTAATTTTTGGTTTTCTATATTCAAAATACATTTTTAGTAAGTCAGTTTATTGCTGTTAAAAATTTATTATATGCACTAAATGGAGTAGATTTACCAGGTCAGATTTATTTACGGTATTACTCCATGAAGAAAGCTGTTTACCTCCTCTGGTTAGTATTAGGTAGTAGGCAAAGTATAGGCTGTAGAACGTGCTGACTGCACTTTGTAATGTGGAGTGTAATTGTAGATGTTTCTGTTTGTAGGTGACCAACAGGAGGCAGCATAAGATCTATTTTAATTAAAACAGCCTGAAAACAAGGATGTATTTCACATTATTTATACTTGACCATTATGCTCAATTTACTTTTTTTTCCTTCTAACATCCAAAAAAGCCTAGAGATCACTAATATTTTGCTGCTGCCTGGGCTCTGCTGATATGTGGAAAGTATGATACTATATGTTTGCCAAGATGTTCGTTCTTTTGTGAATAAAAGCACTGAGCAACCAAATCCTTCTCAAGTCTGATTTATTTTTTCAGTCAGTTTCAAAATACTAAGAATCTACAGTGTTTCTAATGTGGTTAACTCCTTTTTTTTCCCCCTCCCCTTTTTTTTTTCCAACTGGAGAACATTTTGAATGTTAGATTATAACCAAAAATGCAGTTAGCATGCATGAAAACTGCAGTGAGGGGGTTTTGTGATTATCCTTGGACCTTGTATTTGTATATCATTCGCATGAGTTGTTGTTCCCATGCTGAAAAGTTCCAAGTTTAGCATTGTAAGGTACTCATTTAAATTGGGTTTGTTTTTTTTTTTTATTAGATCCATACAGCTCAGATTGATAATACAGGGGCTTTTTAACAGTTTAAGTATTGCAAATGATTAGGTATTTAGTTTTACTGAAATAGACTTCCATACTATTAGAAGTATGGAATAAAAGGAAAATATAAGCTACTTAGTCTAAAATTCACATGCAAAGGGTGCAGAAATGACATCAATACAAAGTGAGGGAGCCCTAGGTTGTCTTGCATTCTTCCAAAACTTAAAATTCTGTAAGCTTCAAACCTCTGTATAGATAAAATAGACTTACAGTAATACAAATTAAGCTTCCAGTGCTCCAAGGCCTTTGCCCCACAGCTAGCAAAAGCCATTTGGAGCTACCTCCAAAGTGTTCCAACAGCGTTCACAATGTTAAAAGCTTATATTGAACAACGAAGGAATAAACAGACGAAATTTGAGAGCTCTAATTGTGTAACCCTGTGGACAATGAGAAGACAATTGCATATGAATGTTCTACAGAACTAGGGAATTCACCATGGACTTGAACAATTCACATCTGAACTGTAAGCCATATGGTGGGGCTTCTCCTATTGTCATCAAAAGCAAGTAATTGAATAAAGTACACATAAATTATACACAAATTCAAGACATATCCTAGATGAATGAAGGAAGTCCAAGGATTTTTGCTGGAGGAAGCTAGCATACACCAAGATTCTTCACCAGTGATCAACAGTCTCCATAATAGTTGAGTAACAATAGAGGGAGAAAATAGAGCTATTTAGAATTATGTGCATAGGTACTCTAGGAAATCATATGCTTCCTAGTGAAAATTATTCTAATGGATACTAATCATATTTAGTGGTTTTGTGCTTCTCAATAAAAGAAGGACACTTAATGAGGTGTAATTAGGACTAATTATTTTTGAAACGTGGCAGAGGTTCAGATTGTTAATGACTTCCAGTTTCCATCATTTTTTCATCTACTTGCCCCTGAAACTAGTTTGAAGTAGCTTGCAAGACCTTTAGGGCACACTTGAATCTCATTTCTGAGCACTGACAAAATACTGATAATAATGTAAATGAAAACCTAGTTCATACATAGGCCTCAGTAAGAAATGTCCCTGTATTACATATGCCAGCAATGTAGCACAGGCTTGCTACCCTATTCTTTACTGTTTTCCTTTTTAATTTTTTATTATTTTCAGTACACAATGGGCAAGTAAGGCAGCAAAACTATCACTACCTGTAAGTAAACTGATAAGTTCATAGCCTTTAGTTTCTATGAAATATTTTGCAGAAAGTTCAATACCAGAATTGTTGACAAACTGGAAAATGCCATCTTAAAGGAGATTCGTAATTTCGTCACAATTTTGATCACTTGAAGCTTTATTAAGGAAATAACCTATCTTTCCAGTGAAAGTAAACAAGTCCAAATACTCATTACAACCCATGTTTGGGTTTGAAAGGACTGAGGAAAGTAATTGTTAACATACATGCAAAATAATACATGCACACATCAGAGCAGGCAGAATAAAGGCAGCAAACTTTAGACAAAAAGTAGTGCCTTAAACCTGCACGAAGGTTACGTGACCAAGGCAACGGGATCCAACATAGAGGGCAAGGACCAGACACATCTTGTGTGGCAGAGAAGCCCCAAACCAGAAAGATCCACAGAAGCCTTTTGCATGTATGTTCACCCACATCAGTGACGTGGCGGCTTACATATGCAGCACTTCCGAAACATTTTCACTTCTTTAATTACAGCATCTATAGAAATGTTATTTCTCTATTTGAATCACAAACCGCGCAGTTCGGGATGAACCACCGGCTGCTGCATGTTCGCTCTCTATTGCAGCATCATAAACCAGCCGCACCCTCTCCTTTCCTCGCACATCCCGCGGAGAGGCCCCGTCCCCACCTTGCCAGCCCATCGCTGTGCCACGCCCTCAGACGGAGAGGACGGAACACCAAACCCAGCCCACCTGACTTCGCCGTGACCCCGCGGAGGGTCTCTAACTGAGGGGAGAGGCGGGCCGTGACCTCTCGCAGCCAATCACCAGCCGGTCTGCGGAAGACAGACGGCGGCTGTAGCCAATGGCTGCCCGGGTGCGGCGCGCGGCGCGGCCCCGCGGGCGGAGGGACGTGGGGGGATCCCGGACCGCCCGGCGCGTCACGGCGGGGCGGGGCAGGGAGAGCGGCGGGCACGGTCCGCCAATAGGCGCGCGGAGAAGACTGACAGACAGGTGATTTGCCCAATGGGAGGGCAGTGGCCGTTAAAGGGCCGGCGGCCCGGAGGGGAGCGCCAGGCGCAGGTGAGCGGGGAGTACGTCCCCCGGGGACCGGGCGGTGCGGGCGGCGCGGGCGGCGGCACCGGGCGGGGATGGGGCGGCCGCTGCCTCAGCAGTGTGCGGGCAACCCCTGGCACCGTCGGTAGGGGTAGAGCGGTGCGGCTCTGCCGCTCTGGGCCCCTGGGGGCGGCAAGGCGATTGTCCTCCGCCTTCTCTCCCCGCGGGGAGGCTCCGCTCGTCTTCCTCCTGCTCCCGGGAGAGTCGCGCGGCCGTGCCGTCTTGAGGGGCCCTGGGCTGCGGTGGGAGCCGCGGGCCCGGCTGCTCCCCAGGGTTCAGTGGCTGGGGCAGCCGTGCCCCCGCCTTCTTTTGTTGCCGCCTCACTCCCCGCAGCGCTCGGGTGGGACCGGGCTGGAGCTGGCGCCTCACCCGGGGCTGTGCCCGCACCGGTCCCTCCGAAACGCGCCCCCCGCCGGGGAGGGGTTTTGTGCCGTTCGTGGCCGTGACTGGTTCGGAGGAAGGGGAATGTCAGCCTGATGAGTCTCTGGATTCATTAGCCTGAATCTACAGCTGCCTCTCATTCTCTGTGCCTCTCTCCTCTCAGCCTCGTTAAATGGTCCTTTTAGGTGGTGTTGGTTCCCTCCCCTGCGTGCCTTTTCGTTCGCGCAAACCGCGCGCTTTTTGCAGGGGGGGATGTGTTGGCCAGCACTCAGCCTCTCTGTACAAAACCCTAAGTTGCGCCAAGTCAACGTAGCCATCTGTTGGGAATCACATACAAAGTTTTCTAGAAATCCCCAGGCTGTAGTATCCAAAGATACTCAGACTCTCGAATTTGTTTAAAGAAAGTCAGAAGTAGCAGGTCTTCCTAATTTAAACTTTGGTTTTTTTATTCAAGCATAAGCCCTGAAAGTTAAAAAATAAATAAATAAATAAAGGGACTATCAAGACATCGTGTTTAAAAAAGTCATGATTTTCCTAAAGAATACTTCTAAGACTGTTGATTCACCAGCAGTCCTTCGGTCCTGGTGAATGCAAGGATGTTTTTCTTTGTTTCCTTGTTTATTTTGGGAGGGTTGGTTAATTTTTTTTGTTGGTCTAGCACTTAGACAATAAGATGTGAACAAAGGAGACAGAAAAGACAGAGGCAGAATGTGGATGCCTCTGCCATTAAGTATGTCAAAGATATTTAGTATGTGTATGTTCTGCCTGCTTAGGGAGTTTGCAGCTTAGTTTTACAATACTTGTTTCATTTCAACTCTGACAGATAGTTTATGTTTCTTTAGTCCAGTGATGAGGACCTTTGTGACATTGGGCTGCTTCTGGCGTGACAGGACTCTGAGACTTGTAGCTCCATGTTGCCATCTTTTCTGGAAGACCTTTGAAATCTTTGTTACCGTATAATCAGAATTGTTTTTTTTTTTTTTCTAGTCATCACTTTGCATTTCTGCACAAACTGTAAAGCTATGCAGTTTGCATTTGCAGTTTCCCCCCAGCTTCTTGTACTTCTCCTTAATGGCAGAGAGCAGGAAACTGAGAAGTTCTTGACTTAGCCTAAGCACTGCTTAGCAACAACCAACATATCAATGTGTTATCAGCATTATTGTCACACTAAATCCAAAACAGAGCACTATCCCAGCTGAAACCAGGACAGTGCTGTATGTCATGTTTTTGTAAATCAAGCTTCTCAAAGTGGTGGTAGGGTAGCTATCTAGAATGTGTACAAATCCTAGATTATTGCCATTCCTGTTTCTTTTGTACTTCGAGCATGTAATAGTTCATCTTTCTGCATTAAAGAGTAATATCCCGGAGACCATCTAGCAGTGTCAGAAAACTGAATATCCCAAACCTCAGGTTTAGTTAGATAGTAAGGCTTTATAGTTAATATATCAGAAAGGTACACAGTGCCACAGTGGATTTGAGCCATCCCTGGGAATAAGTACACTGTTAAAACAATTGGCTAACACCCATTTATATTAATAAGATGGGAATCGTCCTTAATGAGGCCATGTACTTTTAAAAAGGAAAGAGTTAGAAAAGGCAAAATGTCCTTTGCTATTGGAAGTTAGTAGTTATGTGTTTTAAAACAGATAGGTTTTGCTGATGTTTCACTGGGAAATTCAGGGCTTGTATCAGACCTGTTCAAGCAAAAATTAAAAAAAGTCTAAAATAAAACTTTACCTAATAAAGGAATTGGATGCCAGTAGTTTCCAAGTTAGTATTGTAGTACTTAAAGGTCATGTCCTTAGCTTATAGCATAAAATCCAAAACCAAGATTAGACACTTCACGAAGAGTGGCTAGGGAGATCAGTCAGGTGGTGGAAAGCACTGGCACAAGGAGCAGTGAGGCTGACCCACAGGGTAACCTGACATCTGTGTGTTTTAACTCTCAGCCTTTTCTGGGGCTAAGGACAAAGCTTGCCTGTCTGCATCTTCTGTGTTCATGTAGAACTATATTTAGAAGATGATGAAAATTTGATTTGAAAACCGAGGTGTTGTTTTTTTCCCTGTGTTTGTGCCCATATCGACCTGCTGTACTAACTTTGAGAAATTTAGGGAGGGCCAAGGTAACTAGAGATACCATATGAGTCTCTAAAATCTTGTGGTTCCCTGTTATTGGGAATGACCAGAACCTTTTTCACATAGCTGGGGCTAAGTAAAGGACTTAGCCAGTATATACCTTGAGATTAAAAGTCTACTGTTTAAGTATCTTAAGAGAAAATTAAGTATCTACTGGTACTTTCAAGAGTTTAGTTTGATGTATCCAACTGGCGAGTACTTAGGAAAGTTTGACCCATTTTCCCATAGTCAGCAAAGTACTTGAGTGTTCGCTTAAGTATTACTTAAAACCAAACCTGAAATTCTACTGATTTCAGTGGAGATAAGTGTGACCTTGTAAACAGAGATTTAATGTCCTGGTAGTGACAAGTCAGAAATACTGTCATTCTGGTGAAACTTATGTTGTACCTGAGTACTCTATGTGATTCTTTATACCTGGAAGATGAACTCAGGATGGATACCTCTGTATCTTTCACACACACTCCCCACCTTGAAAACAGGTAAGTGCAAATGTACGTGTTTCTAAAGCCAGTATGAAGATACGAGTACTTGATCATTCCCCAGTAACCAGGAATCACTATGTATTTATCAGTCCAGAATAATTGCCTTGTAAATGGTGAAGATTATAAAAGTGTTCTAAATTTGTTCTGTGTGCAGGTAACTTTCCTGAAGAATTTACTTCCTCAGTGACTTATCAAAAGGTTTAAAAAAACCTCACAGCCAAAGACTTTACACAAGATAAACTTAGAATTTCATGCATAAGTCAAGAAATTCAGTTACAATAATAACAGTAAAGCACTACTGCTGTAATTTGTGTTTGAAAAGCTCAGCAAGTACCAAATAAATTGATTTACTGACAGAGAAGTAAATATGATTCTGCTTTCTTGATATCTTTTTGTAATAAGCTTATAATAATCAAGGTTAAGGGATATGCTTAAAGATCAGATAAAAGGTCTCAGAAAAAAATTATGTAATTTTAGCAGGTACAGTGCTGTGTTCTGGTATGAATCTGATTTTCTAAATCGACAACATTTTTTTCATTACTGGTCATGTCAAGTTAGGGGTCTGCATTAAAGCACTACATTACATTATTTTTTTGAACAATTCCCTTTTCTCAAAACCAACTAGAATTTTATTTTCAGAAGGGTAGAATATTTCACACATCCTAAACAGCAACATGCAGCTTCCTGCTTGAGTCTGAGGAGTCCGTCCAAAGTGCTGGGTAGCTGCATAGCAGAACTGGGGACTGGTGTATGCTAATACATGCTCATCCTATGCAATTGATTTCCTCTTGGGACTTGGTTTTGCATATTTGCTAGCTAGTAATCATTTGAAGTAAGTGGCTTGACAGTGAGAATGGTATTGTAATGACGAAAAGTAGTAAAGCAGTTTTCTAAATGCAGCATTTTAAAAAATACTTGATGGCAGCATGCTTGCATGTTGGATATGAGAAGATGTTGCTTGACATGGAAAATTGCAAGTGAGCCACTTACTGACAGTCAGTCATGCATACGAGATGAATAACAATATCTACACTACATTATCCCCCAAATGGAGAGTTGTTGTGTTGTGCTGATGTGTATGTTTTAACCAAGTTTAGGGAGAATAACGGGAGAAAAAATGCTTAGTAAGTTAAGAATCCTGTGTAGCTTGGGGAGGGGGTTGGGGGGGTAAGAGTTAAGTCCATCAGTCAGTAGCAATTGAATATATAGTTTGCAAGCCATTTGCCTTCAGGTGGACAAATGTCTATACTGCATGAACAGTGAACAAACACAGCAGCTTGAAACTGTATGGACTGTATGGTAAGTCCCTGGCCTGCTTGGTTTAAAGCCTTCTAAACCTATGTACCTATAAGACGGTACAAATGATTGTTCAAAATAATCCTAAATTGGACCCATTACCAAGCAATCTGTGACCATGAATCATTTTTGATTCTCAGTTTCTGCTTTCAGGTTTTGGTTGTTTTGGGGGGCTGTTTGTTTTTTGGTTTTGTTTTTTGTAATACAGTCTATGATGTTACTGCAGTGATGTTCATTACTGCATTAATAGTCCCCTGTTTTCTCCCACTCAGGCTGTCCATCTCTGTTCAGAGTTTCACACAATCTGTCAGGTGTATTTATGGGGTTTAGTGTTCTCTTCAGCATCAGGGGCAGGACCAGCTGTTGCTGCGGGCAGAGAACTGAATGAACTTTACAGCTGCCATTGCATCTGACATGTTTTGCAGTGTAAGAAGGACAGAGCTGCATGTAGTGACTTATTCTTAAATCTGTTTACTGTTAAAATATCTCTCATGCATGACATTTGTTTGAGCTAGTAATTTTATGACATTAAACAGGATTGCTTCAGTTATTTTATTTCTGATTAAGATAAGTCGGAAGAGCTTCTAAAATTTCCATTTTCCATATTAATCTACTTTTTTATGGAAATGGTGTCTCATTTAAAATGTGTCTCAGAAATTTCAGTCTCCTACACACTTGATGATTTTGAAGTAATGATATAACAATTTCAGCTTCTTTTGGAAGTAATGTAGTATTCAAACTGAAATGTGTATGTCAAATTTCAGTCCTAAGCAAATCCTGACTGGCAAAACTCTCAAGAGTTGAAGGAAAATACCTGTATTTTTGTAATGGAAATATCAAATCAACTATAACAGTTCATGACATGGATATATTAATGGTTGTGTTATTCATAGGACATTAGAGACGGTATCTGTGGCTACTTTATATTCAGAGTCTAAGAGAATGGTTTTCTTTTATCAAATAAACAGTCAGCTCAAAATATGTATTCCTTAAATGATGACTTAGGAGTCAAGTTGCTAAATGAAAATATATAGTGTATACCTTGGAGATTTATGTTGTTTGCTCTTTTTCTCTTAGGAAGCCTGACAAATAGAAAAATACTACAAGTGAAGAGAAAATTCACTTCACGAGAACTGAACTCTGCTTTCATTGGCTTCTAAATTTATTTATATTAATAGCTGACTAGTGTCAGATCATCTCTGTGGTCTGCTGTGGTGAAATTATTAGGTTAAAGCTGGAAAAGATGAAACAATTAAAAAGAAAAAGGAAAAGCAATTTTAGTGTTCAGGAAACTCAAACTCTCCTTAAGGAAATCAGAAAAAGGAGAGAAGTACTCTTTTCAAAGCAACTTAATACAACAATTAATGAGATGAAACGGAAAGCTTGGGAGGAAATAGCAGAGTGTGTCAATGCTGTAGGTGAAGGAGAGCAAAGAACAGGGACAGAAGTGAAAAGGCGATACCTTGACTGGAGAGCACTCATGAAGAGAAAACGTCTGAATGCAAACATCAAAGTAGTAGGTGCTGGGTTTCACCTTCCTTCATCCAATTTAGATGACTCTCTCAATGAAGACATGGATGAGAAAATGGGATTTGCAATTGAATCTAGTTTTGAATGGCAAAATATCACTGACTTCAGAGAAGCCGGTGGATCTTTAACTGAAATCAAAGTAGAAGAGGAAGAGGAGGATCCGCAGAATTTCGAAGTGAGTGACTGACATGCATTAGCTGTGTGCAATATGGCCTTTGTTTCATTTCAGCATAAGGCTGCTGTGTTTCTTTATAGTGTCTGTTTCTGTTTTTTTTTTCTGAATGTGTGAATTAAAGAAACTGTAGAAACAAATATATTTCAGAGAGATGGTATTCAAATCTAGCAGCTTGGAATTGAGTGTAGGTCTTGGATGTTGATTATTGAATTGATATACCTAAAGCTGGAATATGTCTTCGCACATGTATTTTCCATTTGTATGTGCCACAGATAAGAATTAGTTCAGTCAGTAGAATGAAAATATGCTCTTGAAGGAAACTGGTTATTGTAATATTCAGGCTGTCTGGATGGATGAACAGAGAAGAAAAGTACACTTCTTTAACAACTGGAAGTATATGTTACCTGCAGGTACAGAAGGAAATAGAATACTGTTTGCATGATCTTAAAATGAACCCACAGGAGATGAAACCATTACTTGAATAAGTCAGTTGGCCATTCTTCTCTTTCAGAATTTTAGTGTGAATTTGACAAGCAGCTGTGGATTCTCTAGACAGGTTGTTACTCCTGGTAGTACTGTGACTGTCCTGGGGAAGGCAGCCAGCTGGAGTCAAGTCAAATGTTGGGATAGTTTTGCTGTGCCTGTACAAATATATAGTTCTCATTTCAAAAAGGGGTATTCAAACAGTTTTCCTTTTTTTTTTTCTTCTAAAGTGAGAAGGATGGGGAAGCAGCTCCTGTCTTAGCTCAGTCAGTATATGTGCTGGGAAAAAATCAGCAGAAGCTGTTAAATGGTAGTGAGACTACTGTCAGACAGTGCTGAAGAACAGTGTCTGTCTTCTGCTGAGAGCAGTGATCCTAACCATCTTATCATCTGCATCATAAATAGCTTTACAGCAAATGTGGTAACACAGAATGCATAAAGTCCTGTGTATAGACCCACTTAATGGAGTTGGAAGGGTTAAGAGCATGTGAAAAATGTCAGTGTTAAATGTTTCATAAAAAATGTAATCCTTAAGTTAGTGAATATTGGGTTAGCTTACATACCACACAGCCTATGAATCCATCTGCTCTGATAAATAATTAGTCACAACAAATTCCTAGTGGCTTCCCTAAATGTCACTCAGGTCTATGAAAAGTAAGAACAACATATGGTCTTGTAGATCCATTTTTCTATCAGTGGTTCTGAATGATCTGTAATAACTGTGCCGTGTGTTTCTGTATGTTCTTGCATGTCCACTGACAAACTGATTTTGCATTTTTCATTACCAAGTATTAACTTGCAGATAAAGTGTGTTTCTCTACCTGTGTAATGATAGAAAAATTTTCTGATTTAAAATGGTTATTTCACAGCATGCGAGTTAAACAGTTCTGAGTAGCTTTAAAGATGAAAAAACGCAATATGTTCTTTTCAGTCATGTGTAACACATTTATTCTGGCATAAAGACTGGAGTGTAATTATTTTCTGTCATGTTCCTCTGCAGTTTCCTATTGAGGAAGAAGAAGAAATATTGTCATCAGTTTTGCCAGATTCGAAAAAGGAAAATGACCTACCAGACTTCCCCCACATTGAAGAGTTTGGAAATCTAAGCTCTGCTCAAGCTAGGCTAGCCTATGAAGATTCTCATTTGCTTATAAATCTGGAGAAGCAAAAGCTGGATCTGGAGAAACAGCGACTAGACATTGAAGCCGAAAGGTTGCAAGTAGAGAAGGAGCGCCTGCAAATTGAAAAGGAACGGTTGCGGCACGTTGACTTGGAGCGCGAGAGGCTTCAGATTGAGAAGGAGCGACTTCAGATTGAATGGGAGAAGCTCAGGCTGGAGACTCTGCAATCCGAAAAACCTGCCCTGGAAAATGACCTCACCCCAACAGAAAAACCCATCATACAGCCTCTGGATCTAGAAACTGAGAAGTTAAAACTTGAAAAAGAACGTTTACAGTTAGAGAAAGAGAGGCTGCAGTTTCTCAAGTTTGAGTCAGAGAAGCTGCAGATTGAGAAGGAACGCTTGCAAGTGGAGAAGGAGCGCCTTCGAATTCAGAGAGAGGGTCACTTGCAGTGAACTTCTCAACTAAAGTGTCAACATTAGTGTTTTGATGTTTCTAAAATAGAGGTAGTTCTTTTCTTAATACTGAAACTGTCCTAGAGGCTAAACATTTTTCTGTTCAGAGTTGAACATTATGTTAAACTGAAAAAAAATGGTGCTCAATATATCCGTGTGCCTGCATAAGTGAGCTAATGTGTGAAATTGCTTTTCAGTGTATCAGAACTAAGTGTTATGTTCTCTTGTCTCCAGTATTGTGCTGTATTAGTTTGGTGTCCTCCTCTTGTAGACATGTTGGGGAGAATCAGGGCTGAACCTTATGCTGTTTTTCACTGTAGTAACAGTAAGGAAGGATTGGAATAAATCAACATATGTTGTGAGGACATGGTGCTGACAATTTCCCATATGGTAATGAAGTATAATTTAGGCAGAACAGAGTAATACAGAGTCATGATGAGATTGATTCATTAAACTTAGTTTCCCCTTTTTTGTTTTTTGTTTTTTTTTTCCTGCCCCCACAATTGGAAAAAGAGTTGAAGAGTTTTATAGAAGTTAAAGTGCAAGTTAAATTTGTTGCAGTTGTTTTTACTGTTGTTCCATGGCTTGAACTGAATGAGAGTGCAGAATATAATATTGTTTCTTTTGCATTAAGTATTCATACTAGATAAAGTTACACATCAACCATACCTACTATGAACTAGATGTTTGGTTTCACCAGGTCCTTAATAATGCTATATGGAATATAGCACCTGTCTTAGTGTAGCACAGGGATTTACTGATTGATCAGGCATGCTGTCTGGTGAGTCTGTGATGACCCACTGAAGGAAATACCTGGTTTGTTCGCTGAAAGACAGTAGCTGGTGATGGGAGTCTCAGGAGTGGAGACACACAGGCTGAGCAGAGGCTAAGGAGCACTGAGCTTGAACATGAACATACTCGTTGCTGGTTCTGCCTGGCCAGCACTGAGGTCATGTCTGCAAGGCAGCAAGAAGAGGCTTCTGTGACTGACACCATATAGTATATTTTAACTAGACAAACAGAAATAATCCGTGCTGAAGGCTGTCGATATTTTTCATAAGAAATGTATTCATTTAACAAAAAAAACATCAAGGAAGGAAGCTTTCCATTATTTCATATATGTTTAAATCCAAACTGAGCCAGACTTCACATTTCTCATCTTTCTCCAAGTAGCTATCTTTTGTTCACTCCATTTGAAACTTAGGACTTTGAGAATACTAAGTCTAAATATATGTTGAGTGACTTACGTGAATTCTTGTGCAAGTAAATATATTTATACCACTACAGGTTTACTCTTATTCTGCAAAGAAAATGTTATTTTTTTATTACTGAAACAAGTGTGCTTCTACAGTGGAAATAAATTTGACTACTACACTCCAAAATGGCTCTTGAGACTGTCTTTCTTAACAGAGGGAGAAGGCTACATCTGAAGAGAAACCTGGGTACTCAGCACTGCAGCACCCCAAAGTTGCTGGTACCTGTATTCTCTGTGTAGTAAATCAGAGAGATGAGACCCCTCAGAGTTGAACTTAAATCAACCAGCACTTACTTGAGAAAGGAAAAGGGAAGGAGACACCAACCAGCTAGATAGAAATGCCCCAGGGAGAAGTGTATCTGAAATTTTTCTTCCTGAATGTGGTTGGCACCTGGCTTGATGCCAGGTGCCCCCCCCCGAACTGCTCTATCTCTCCCCTCCTCAGCTGGGCAGGGTAGAGAAAATATAACAAAACACTCCTGGGTTGAGATAAACACAGGGAGAGAGCATTCCTCAATTACTGTCACAGGCTAAACAGATTCATCTTGGGGAAATTAGCTTATTACCAATCAAATAAGAGTAGGGTAATGAGAAATAAAACCAAATCTTTAAACATCTTTTCCACAGCCTTCCCTTCTTCCTGGGCCTTAACCTGATTTTCTGTACCTCCTCCCCCTGAGCGGTCCAGGGGAATGGGGGCTGTGGTCAGTTCATCACATGCTGTCTCTGCTACTCCTTCCTCCTCAGGGGGACGACTCCACAGTCTTCCCCCTGCTCCAGCATGGGGTCCCTCCCACAAGAGATAGTCCTCCACGAATTTTTCTAACATGAGTCCTTCCCACAGGCTACAGTTCTTCATGAACTGCTCCTGTATGGGTCCCTTTCACAGGGTCCAGTCCTTTAGGAACAGGCTGCTGTAGTGTGGGTCCCCTGCAGGGTCCTGCCAGCAAACCTGTTCCAGAGTGGGCTCCCTTCTGCATGGAGCCACAGGTCCTGCCAGGGGCCTACTCCAGTGTGGGCTTCCCATGGGGTCACAGCCTCCTTAAGGTGCTTCTATCTGCTCTGTTTTGGAGTTCCTCCACAGGCTCCAGTTGAATCTCTGCTTTATCATGTGCCTCTATGGGCTGCAGGGGCACATCTGCCTCATCACAGGCTGCAGGGGAATCTCTACACCAGTGCCTGCAGCACTTGTTGCTCCTCCTCCTTCACTGCCCTTGGTGTCTACAGGGCTTTTTATCTCACATATTGTCCCTCCTCTCTTGGGTAGCTTATTCCCATTTCTAAATAATGTTATACCAGAGTTACTACCCCTGTTGCCAACGGACACGGCGTTGGCCAGTGACGGGTCCGTGTTGGAGCCGGCTGGCATTGGCTCTGTCGGATGTGAGGGAAGCTTCTGGCAGCTTCTCACTGTAGCACCTCCTGCTACCAAGACCTTGCCATGGAAATCTAATACACTGAATGAAAGTGACAGTTTTAGCTCCCTGATACATATCAAGCAAATTGATACTAAAAATAGCTTTCTGTGATTTGGAGAAATTGCTTATCTTTTCCTTTTAAAATACGAGAGAAGCAGAATTCAGGAGGTTTGTCAGGATTTTGTAGTGCGTAGAGCATTGACCAAGATAGTGGGGTAACATGGATTTTATGATTGCTGTATCCTGGGATGACCAATTTTCTAGATAACTATTCTCACTGCCAAACAAGGTGGGTAGGAACAAGGGGCATCATACCCAGCTCTGCAAGAGGCAGTGACCAGAAATACCAGACCAGGACAGAGAGAAACTTCCTACAGTTTTCTCTGTAAGAAGTATCTGACCCGGAAGGAGCAAATCTGGCTCCAGTTTTGACAGGTGGTTGAGCTGCTGCTTGATTCCAGTACTTCTGTCTTCATGTTTTGTTCCAACTGTATGACTTATTCATTAGGATAATGGTTTGTATGTTACATTGGACATCTTCAGAATTACACCCCAAGAGCATTAAAGGTTACGGGGAAAAATATATAGATAAACTTGAACCATTTCTGAATCCTGAATTGTTTCAGAAATTTGAACACTTCTCCAAATGTTAATAGTGCAGTATATAAACAATTATTTTCTAACAACTATTCAACCTCCTAGGGAAATGATGCATCCTTTGGTTATAGAAAACCTCTTGGAAAATACTGAATGATGAAATTAAGTATCATGATAAATCATTGAAAATATGGTTTCATCATAAAATTTAGAGAAAATTATAGAGTTTTATACAGCAATTTTATAGCTTACTTTTTAAATAATGAAAATGCAGTCATTTTCTGATAATTTGAATTTAAATGTTGTATCTTTAAATACTAATCTGCAATTTCTTAAGCCTCAATTGCTTGATTCACCAACATAGGATCCTGACAGCAAAGCCTAAGGGCAAGATTTCAACCATGTAAATGTTACCAAAGATAGGACATACAAATAAACTCATTTCTCTGCTAGAAAGAGAGATTTGTAGTCCTGTTTAAAATAAGGGCCTGTGATTTTAAGTAGTGAGTGACTTTTCCAGACTGGGAAGAGGTTAAAGACAAGGGGGAAACCACACCTATTGAAGGAAGAGGAAAGTATTTGGAGAAAAAAAAGGAGAGGAGTGAAGATCAAACATCTGGTAAGAGGGGAGGCAGGTGAAACTGGTGATAGAGAAGTATCCCATTTTCATTTTAAGCTGCTTTATTGAGGTTTTTTCTGGTGCACTGATGTCAGATCTCATGGCTCTGTGACCCCCATGGGAATTTATGAACAGGGAAGGTGAGTGGCCTGAGGTCCAGCATGCAGCTTCACAGCTGCTGCCAAAGGCGGCAGTTCGCAGACTCCATGTGTGCCATCTGATTTCTGCAGTGGAAACACGTGCTGAGACCTTTGTAAATGCCATTATGTCCACTACTCTATGAAGAGGTTTCTAGCCTGTAATTTTAAAGCCAGAAGGCTAAATAACAAAGGTAAAATAAAAGCTGCCTCAGAGAGTTTCTCACTGTCTGTTATTAACCATGGGTCCCACCAATTTGTGCCTGGCTAAGACATTAATGAAAAGAAGCAGTGTGCATCCAGGTGTTTTCACAATGCAGTTTGGAGACAGGCTGGCTAATGCTTAACAGTGTTCTACCTATATCCAGAGGAGATCATAGGGTAAGGTTGTAAATGCGGTCCCCAAGAACAGCCCAGGATGAACAGCAGCCATACTCCCAACAGGACACAGCTGACAAAGCACAGTAGGATTCAAAGGCAACTTCTTTCCCTTGAGTAAGTAGTCTTGTTATTTCTGGGACATTTTGAGCAACTTGCATTGTATGTAAAGAGATGCTGCAAGCAATGTGTACACAAGGTATAAAATAATTTATTAAGATAAATTATTAAATTATCATTAAGACAAATAAGAGATGTTTAGGATTTCATAAGCTCTCAGACTAAAAATTAGTATTGTCATCACCTCAAGGTGTCTTTACTATTCAGGGAGGCATCAGCCAGGAGAGTAAGGGTTTCTGAAATCCCCCTTGCAAGTGGGAACAGAAGCTAGCAACGCATGTTTCTTCAGCTTTTCACAGAACTGTTGATGCAGTTGCCACAAAAACTGCCTCCCCCAGAAGCTCCCCTCAGAAAGGCATGGAGTTCTCCAAGGAGACGGAGTCAGACCTAGGGCTGATATTTGACAAACACAAAAATACCCTCAAAAATTCTACTCCATGTCAATCAGGAGCCTTGACAGAAGTGCTAGGTGGGAGAAGAGGGAGGAGGAAAGACTGATTTTTCTCCATTATTGCTGAAATCAATTAGTGAATTAGCCAGAGAGTGTCAAAAAATGCTACTACATGCAATGGTGTTTTGCATCAAGGATTCAGAATGCTTGTAGCTGGTATTAGGACTATAGAAAGAGTTTAATCCAGGTTTGTTTGTTTGTTTGGTTTTTAACTAAAGAGAGAATAAAATAAAAAATATTGCATTTTGTAATAAATGCCCGCCCTTTGTTTGTTTTCAGATAATCAACTTGTTTGAAGATGCTTGCTCCAAGCAAATAGGAAGAGGCAGGGAAGAACGCTTTCCATAAGGACTTGGAGCAACTTATAGTACTTCATCTTTTCCTCTCATTCTTTTTTTTTTTTTTTTAGTCAATTTGTATCAAAACAATGATTTTTTCAAACCACTAGCTACACCGCCAGTGCTTTTGGCTTGGTATCACCAGGTGATCTAGCAGCAACATTTGCCACTCATGCAGCATCCAATGGGAGTCAAGAAGGGCAATGGGGCTGAGGTAGCTCATTTTTCCTTCCTGGTCTCGTAAAGCAAAGTGTCCTGATGCTAGGTCATGCTTACTGTGCCAATGAATGCAACAGTTCTCAGCCATCACAAAACATACTAGAAAAAAATAGGTCCACTGGTACAAGACCAGAAGCCCTTTTCAGACACTGCACATAATCCTTTTAAACTTGACCTATTTTAGAGGACACTTCCATCCTCTCCTTTTACAGATTATTAAGAGTACCATTGTTATTTTCTGTTCCAGTTTTATTGTTTTTAATTTCCCTGCTTCACACTATCAGTAGTTTTATTCTATACATTAGCAGACTGTGAAATACCTTGTCTTGCTGCTTCCATATTTTCTAATTGCAACACTCCATCATTAGTCAACGGGTTCATAATGTGGAAGGCAAAGCTGCTATTTCATTTCATGCTATATAATACAATGCTTTTGGTTCAGTAATTACATTGTGCCAGACTCATGATCAATCCTGAGATAGCTCACTTGTGATGGATAGCCCCATCACAGAGTGTATAAGAATTAAAGGAAGAAGCAAATTTTTAATTTTGTTCCTCTGTCAATCTAGCTATTTGGATACTGCTTTTGAGACTAATATTTATCTCACCAAGATAGGTAGAGATTACACAAATGAGAACTTAAAAGAGAGAATTGAAGTTTGAAAAGCATTTTCTAAAGTTTTGGGTTGGAAAACAGGAAGGATATAAATTAGACATTGTTCCACAGAAAGCTATTGTGTTAATCTGTTAATGGATTGCAAATCTTTTAGTCACCTGTTTAATGTACTGGAGAAAACCATTACCTGCTTCTTATAACTATTCCAAGGGTTATATGAAATGATATGATGAT